ACGCTGAGGCTTAATTTACACTAATTTTCCGAAATTCGGCAACTTTGTTGTTTTCAAAAAAAAAAGAGCTGTGAATGATGGAAACGCTAATTTAAAACATTTTTAGCGCTTTTATTTTGTAGTGTTTCTTCGAGCTTTCCCTTCACTACTGTGAAAAGTGGGTGATGATACTCTGGAATAGGATTTGGAATGAAATTTTGGTTGCTTTTAAATGTACGTGTGTATACAAGTTCAGGTTGCGATCTCATGGTGCACTATGGTCATAGCTGTCTTATACCCATCCAGGAAACTCAGGGTATTGAAATGCTTTATGTTTTTGTCGATATAAAAATGAATCTATGCCATTTTATCGATGTATTTAAAGCGAATTTCAACAAAGATAAGAAGCATGCTTTGGTGAGCACAATCCAGTTTGTACCTTCCTTGCAGGTAAATACCTGCATTTTTACAACATTGATTTTATAATTCTTTCACAATTTTCGTATTTTTGGAGGCTTCTTTGCTCGTCGTTCTACGAACTAATCAAAAAGTCCTGTAGGGAACCCGTAAGTCCCGCACAATTTTCTGTTTCAGAGTATAAAAAAAGAGCTGAATGCGGATGGTTATAATATACTGGTGCCACAAGTCAAGCCTCTCAGTCCCGGTGAAATTCTTGGCTGCACATCTCCACGCTTGCCTAATGATGTCGATGCAGTAATGTAATTTTTCCACAGGAATTTTTTTTTTTTTGTTTTACTTGCTACCACTCTGTATGCTTTCGAGTGTCTACTTGTTACAAAGAGGAATACGGATGATATTTTGCTTTGATTTAATGTTGCATGCGGCAGTACAGGACTGAGCACTTTTTTTTTTCAGATATCTCGGAGATGGGAGGTTTCATCTGGAATCAGTAATGATACAGAATCCATCGATTCGTGCCTACCAATATGATCCGTATTCAAAGTATGCTTCGTTCTTTTAACTACTTTTGTTGTTTTACTAGCAGTTATTTTTCTTTGTAGATATTCGAAAACTCGATATTCGTTCGAGAAATGTTTGAATCATGATCATATAAGCAATTAGACTCTCTGTTAGGACGTGCAAGATGTTTACGTGACCATGTGAGGGAGTGAAATTTATTAGGATAAACTTTCTTTCAACTTTCTACATGGCCTACTAGTGAAAATCGCGTACCGACAAATGGTATTTAGGGAGAGGGGAACAAACACTTGGATGGTTTCCGGAAAGTTAGTATGAGTACTCTGTGAAAGTGGTAGCTTACTTATTCAGCACAGAGCATCGAAGGCTCAGCTGTAGCTGCATGCCTTAATTCAGTGGTCCGGCCTCAACACTGATTATCTGGAGCGTTTCACTAAAATGCTATTGACAGATGGTACTGTGTAAAATGTTTGCCATGTAGAACGTTTGTTTAGGAGATTCACTCATGAAAAGTATGATTTCAATTTGATGGCTAACAGAAGAAATGAGGCAGTGCAAGCAGCAAAAAAATGCCGTATGTTTGGACTAATCCAAGGTTCGCTCGGCAGGCAGGGAAATCCGAAAATCGTCGAGGTATACTCATTTACTCTCTTGGACAGTGCTAAATTCAAGTCGGATTTTTCGCCTTGGCTTCCAACAGAATACTTTTAATTTTACTAAAACATTTTGTAGGAGCTAGAAAGGAGGCTGCAGTTGGCTGGAAAAATGTTTGTGCGTATTCTTCTGTCAGAAATAACACCCGAAAAATTGTCATATTTTAAAGATATCGATTGGTAAGTTTATACACTTTATGCGTAGAATTTTTCAGATCGCTTTAGATTTGTATTTCATGTGATACGCCCCCATGTGTGTTATCTCCCAGTGAAATTCTTTTTACGCTTACCACTTAGACAAGGTTGCAGTAAGACGGAGCGCTCGTAATTGTAGGCCTAGCCGTAGGTGGCGGTACCGGAATAATTACTGAAGCTATCCCTTCATGGAATTTTTGGGTGAGCCGCGAATCCTTAGTTTGGTTCCTCGTTTGTGCGGCTGCAAACTTCCCTAGTTATCTTTGACCACTGCCTTGTTCTCTGACGGTAGCTTGCTGGCAATCCTGGCATTTGTTTCGTCTCTTGAATGGATCGAGCTCAGCAGTTTTCCAAACTGAAGCACTTGACAAGGCTTCCAAGGTGCCCGTGGTACGTGATGAGCATCACTGTGGTGCTTCGAACGTTACTTCTCTTTAAAAATGAACCTACGAAGAGTCACTGGAGCTCATTCTTTGTAGTAAACAAGGACTGGTTTTTTACGAGGTTTCATTGTTTTTTTTTTTTCAAATTTTTCGCATCTTATTTCGGTGCTTCTGAGTATGTTGAGATGAATAACCGATCCGTTGGGGATTGTCATCTATTTTGTCCTCGGAGATAATTTTTATTAGAAAATATTTTTAAGATATGGAGATTTGATCAGCTGTGGCGTAATTTTTTCAGCTGGGTACAAGTGGCTTGTCCTCGTTTATCGATTGACTGGGGTTCCGCTTTTGAAAAACCGCTTTTGACGCCTTATGAATTGGTTGCTGCATTGGATTCTGTCCCTTTTCGAATTGACACATATCCGATGGATTATTATGCAAATGAGAGCCTCGGACCATGGACGAACAACCATGAAACATATCGAGCAAGGTTGCCGAAGCGGAAACATATTATAATTGCAGCATCTCAGGATTGAAAGAGTGTTGACATTCAGTTCGGATCTGGGCGATATTTATGTAAAAAAAAAGAAAAAAAATGAAATATTTGAACAGCAAGATAACAGATACACAAAAAAATAATAATAATGGACGGAGAATACGCATCTCAACTTCATTTTAAGCCAAAAAGTTTACCCTTATATAGTGGCAGGAGACCATGCTAAAGTCAACTTGAAAAACAAGCAGTCCGTTCTGGCTGTAAATACGATTCGCGGGACCTCACAGCCGAAGTGATGACCAGTGAGAATTCGGGGGAATAACGGAACGCAGCTAGTTTAACAGCCAAACATGCAAAGCCTAAACAGTCTGGAACCTGTGAGCGCGGCAGTGAGGCGTCCTAGCGAGGAGTGGCCATAGCAAGTCTGGGATCTGAAGTGTTTCGCGGAGAAATTCATTGTTTGAACGAAAGCATTAATCCCTAAAAAGCAACAGTCGGGAAGTGCACTTCGGAAAAGACAATGGGCGCACGCTAATCAGTAATCGTCGGCTCAGCGGTTCCTTGGAATCCAGTGGTTGCTGCTGCTATCGTTGTTGTTGCTGCTGCTGTCATCAGATTTGAGGGAGCTTTACGATAAAGCACTGTTTCGCAACGTACCGATGACGTGGGTCGTATCATGCCCTGATCAACCCTGGAATATGAGGTCGTCTTCACTTCTTACTGGAAATGTTTCAGATTTACAAAAGTGAATTCACAGGACCTGACCGCCTTATATTGCGACTGAAAATTCACTATGAGGAGAGAATTTTTTCCCCCAGAGACTGAACGCCTTGCTAAGCACTTCTGCCGACAGAACTGATAAGCTGATAATTCCTTTAAGAGATAAACGCCAAAATCGCCACAGGCTGACCTCTAGGCATTCCAGCACTGAACAAAGCAACTCTAGATTGATGAAGATCCACGTTCTGAAGTAAAGTTGTTTCAGCTATTTCAAATCATAGGACCGGTGGAGCAGGGAGGAGTGAGAGACGGAGTAGTAGAATACCTTAACAAATTATCATTTGAATATCTGATGCCATAAGCGTTTTACCAGTCCCACTTTCTTTCTCGTCGACCCTTAGACATGGATTATGTGGAACTTCTCTTACTCCACAGCCCAAATTTCCATCCAGTCGCTATCTTCCGGGTTCGCTTAGCCCGCATTTCTGTGATCTCTCAGAAATGAGCGTCAAATTGCATCTTCAAGATCCGGCAGTGGATGTAAAATGCCAGCTTTAAAAGCATCGAAGGAGAAATGTAACCTTTCAGCTTTTCTTCGACATCCAAAT